GAATGAAATTATTTGCAGTTGCAGAGTCGCTATCTCGTTTCTGCGCTTCCAGCACGGGATTACGAGGTGCTGCCAAACCCCGAATCCAGTCTCAAGAAAGCTCTATCGTGCGTTCAATGATACTTGCAAATTGACGAATCTGCAGTGCACTGTATTTTACACGACAGCCTTATGCGGCACAAGCACAAAATACGTTCTTCAGATCCACGTGCTGCATCAGCCGGCACCGTCAAAGGCCGTAACGTAATTATGGAATATTGCGGGCCGATGCTCAACGAATCACATTTCCCACTGCACTGTGATCATTTTGCCAGTTGTACAGTCCGGTCGCATACCTGTCCAATTTGTGATATAGTTATCCTTTAAGAATATTCATGTTAATTTTATGTGGCTGAGAAATGGATGCCTTTAATCATTTCTTCGAGAAATTCTAGTGCTCAGTCCAGATGCAGACCAATGTTGGAAGATTCCATAGTGACCATATCAGGTTTCCGATATAACTTTCTCACCTGATCGCAGGGCCGCAACTTCTTATGTGTCATGTGGCTCAGCAAAGCATGTTAACCTTGTGACATTCTGATAGTACTTTCATATAATCTATAGAGTAAATCTTTAATTGACAGCAGATGAGGCTCACAATGAAATCAATGCCCTGTGCTTTAAAAGATGAACTCTACTGCATCATTTCTTACCACACTCCCTTCTTTCTGTCGAAAGCCGGCACCATTGCAGCTGGAGTCTTCCACATAAGTTGAATAAGCATGCGAAGAACGTCCAGGACATTGTCATCCTGAAAATCATGAATACATCAAAAAACAGACGACTCCACTGATAAGTGATTACCTCGTGAACGGTTACCAGATAGTTAAAAACAGCCTCCAGCTCGTCGTCCTTCTGCAACGACGGTTCTCCTTTCAGAATTAATTTGTAAAGTAGCACGAGAATATGAGATCGAATTTTTAAGATATCGTCGGTAGATGGTCGGTCCAATCCTGCAAAAAACAAACGTTATCAAAGCTTTCAAGAATTACGTTACCGATGAACGCTCTAGTGCGTTATACAGCCTACCTTACAGACTGAAAATCTACCTGTAATCTGATAATCGTGACGCTTGAAAGATAAAATATTTCATTTACTGAAAGAACATACAATAATATGAAATCCCAATGGTCTTCGTTGAATGCATGCCATTGAAGATAATCTGCCTTTATATAGTCAAACAAAACTCTAAGGTTGGTAGAATATATAAAGGCTGCACCAGAAAAAAGCTCGGTATGAAATGTGCAATGACAGACAGAACAGAAAGTGAACATATACCAAGCCATGGTATGGTAACTTGCGAATGATGACACAACAGATTAGCAGCCAAGGTTCTGGCAATCCATGTTCAACGACGGAGATGAAGGGAGCGCCTAAGAAAAAGATGCCAGTGACGCTGCGAGGATAGCATTATAAAGGCGATCGAATTGTAAGAACCATCAACAACATGTGTATGACAAACAGCGATAGCGAAATATTGTAAAGGAATTCATCCATCGATCTGCATGTGCCTGGAAGAGATAAACAAGAAGAAAACTACGCCTTAAACGAAAATAACGGGTGGCTAACCGCCGTTTTCACTGGTGGTTTCCTTTAGCGATCCTTTGGAACCCAAAAGATGCTCAGAACAATGAAGAAAGAAGCCTCACTGCAAAGAAACTGAGGTCATCGCCCATACCCATTGTTAAAAAAAGTGCATGAATAAGTTCCACGATTTGAGCTTCGTCAGAAACTGAAAAATATAAACCGAATGGCAATCAAACAAGTCAGTGGCAGAAAGAACCTATAAAGATCAAAGAAGACTTATTCATCGAAACCAACGAATATGTAAATA